AAGGATAAGGGAGAAGAGATAGAGAGGAGAGGAGAGGAGGAAACAGTGCGGAAAGGATAAGGGAGAAGAGATAGAGAGGAGAGGAGAGGAGGAAACAGTGCGGAAAGGATAAGGGAGAAGAGATAGAGAGGAGAGGAGAGGAGGAAACAGTGCGGAAAGGATAAGGGAGAAGAGATAGAGAGGAGAGGAGAGGAGGAAACAGTGCGGAAAGGATAAGGGAGAAGAGATAGAGAGGAGAGGAGAGGAGGAAACAGTGCGGAAAGGATAAGGGAGAAGAGATAGAGAGGAGAGGAGAGGAGGAAACAGTGCGGAAAGGATAAGGGAGAAGAGATAGAGAGGAGAGGAGAGGAGGAAACAGTGCGGAAAGGATAAGGGAGAAGAGATAGAGAGGAGAGGAGAGGAGGAAACAGTGCGGAAAGGATAAGGGAGAAGAGATAGAGAGGAGAGGAGAGGAGGAAACAGTGCGGAAAGGATAAGGGAGAAGAGATAGAGAGGAGAGGAGAGGAGGAAACAGTGCGGAAAGGATAAGGGAGAAGAGATAGAGAGGAGAGGAGAGGAGGAAACAGTGCGGAAAGGATAAGGGAGAAGAGATAGAGAGGAGAGGAGAGGAGGAAACAGTGCGGAAAGGATAAGGGAGAAGAGATAGAGAGGAGAGGAGAGGAGGAAACAGTGCGGAAAGGATAAGGGAGAAGAGATAGAGAGGAGAGGAGAGGAGGAAACAGTGCGGAAAGGATAAGGGAGAAGAGATAGAGAGGAGAGGAGAGGAGGAAACAGTGCGGAAAGGATAAGGGAGAAGAGATAGAGAGGAGAGGAGAGGAGGAAACAGTGCGGAAAGGATAAGGGAGAAGAGATAGAGAGGAGAGGAGAGGAGGAAACAGTGCGGAAAGGATAAGGGAGAAGAGATAGAGAGGAGAGGAGAGGAGGAAACAGTGCGGAAAGGATAAGGGAGAAGAGATAGAGAGGAGAGGAGAGGAGGAAACAGTGCGGAAAGGATAAGGGAGAAGAGATAGAGAGGAGAGGAGAGGAGGAAACAGTGCGGAAAGGATAAGGGAGAAGAGATAGAGAGGAGAGGAGAGGAGGAAACAGTGCGGAAAGGATAAGGGAGAAGAGATAGAGAGGAGAGGAGAGGAGGAAACAGTGCGGAAAGGATAAGGGAGAAGAGATAGAGAGGAGAGGAGAGGAGGAAACAGTGCGGAAAGGATAAGGGAGAAGAGATAGAGAGGAGAGGAGAGGAGGAAACAGTGCGGAAAGGATAAGGGAGAAGAGATAGAGAGGAGAGGAGAGGAGGAAACAGTGCGGAAAGGATAAGGGAGAAGAGATAGAGAGGAGAGGAGAGGAGGAAACAGTGCGGAAAGGATAAGGGAGAAGAGATAGAGAGGAGAGGAGAGGAGGAAACAGTGCGGAAAGGATAAGGGAGAAGAGATAGAGAGGAGAGGAGAGGAGGAAACAGTGCGGAAAGGATAAGGGAGAAGAGATAGAGAGGAGAGGAGAGGAGGAAACAGTGCGGAAAGGATAAGGGAGAAGAGATAGAGAGGAGAGGAGAGGAGAGGAGGAAACATTGAGGAAACGATAAGGGAGAAGAGATAGTGAGGAGAGGAGGAAATAGTGAGGAAAGGATAAGGGAGAAGAGATGGAGAGGAGAGGAGAGGAGGAAACAGTGAGGAAAGGATAAGGGAGAAAAGATAGT